GAGGATGTGCACTACTACTGCTATGAGTTACTGCAACAAGAACCCCCCCGCTCCTGTCTACCTTATAGTCCATGCTGTATTTTGCTGAGGGGACCATGTGTTCAGGATGTTTGTATCCTCAGTGTGTGTGAGTAAAGCGGTGCTGTCTCAGCAACAAGGTTTGAGACGTCATTGTCTCTCTCTTTCTTTTTTTTGACGCTGAATAGTAGCAGTGTGAGAGAGATGCCTGTCCGATAGATGCAACCTGCCTCCTTCTCTTCTCACATGAATGAAATTAAAGGGCCAGCAATGTTGTCCTCATTACGGTTGCTGCAGCAACATAATATGCTGCAGGTCTGCGACTGCATTCCCAATCACAGAACTATGCATATGCTATTTGAAATTATTCTTCAGTAACACAATGACCTGCATTTCTACAGCCTGATTTCAAAATATTAAACATTTGCAAAACCCTCCATTGAATAAGCTCTTTACTTTTTTTGATATACTTTTGTAATAAATGTAAATTTGCGCTGGATAACAGAAGCAACAATGTGGATCTCAAAAATGTGGTGAAAATGCAGTGAAGGTGGTGAATGTCCCAGTTTATTTATACATATATATATATATACATATATAGTGCATTATGCTTTTGTTTTGTGTCTGAAACACAATTAAGGCTCATAAACAAAACACTATGTGGCTTGAAACTTGAATCTGTATCATGTTAAAAAGTGAGTGCTTGCGTCAAACATCTTATCTTCTCTTGCTCAATATTATTCAGCTCAGTTTGTCTAAACTCAGAGCTGAGTAAAAGAAATTCCTACCTTTTCAGTCCCTATCTTAGACTCTTTTTCTATGCTGTCTTTTTATTACAAATGATACAGGAGCCATTATTCTCGCTTGGAACAGATTTAACATCTAAAAAAGAACAAATGAAATAATAGCTCACATTTCAGAGTTCAGAAAATGTGACTGAAATGAAGTAAATTGTGCGTTTCTTTACTTTAGCAGCACAAGCATATGTGAGGAATAAACTGTAGCTACCTGTGGAAAAAATAAGACATTCATTGGAACAGTCCCAGGTACCATAAGGTGAGAAGCGGGGTACACCATGGACAGGTCGCCAGCCGGTCGCAGGGCCAGTCAGAATTTCTTCATAACAAATTACATGTGTTGCTGCTGATGCAGGTAATTTGCATAGAGTTTGACTGTGCAGCTGTACTGGACTACAACAAATTACTGATTAAAAGCACTCTGGCCATCATTATACCACACTGCAAAAAAAGTATCCTCTTTTCAAGCTCCAGACTCAAACATGATGCCGTCAAACAAAGTAGAGCACTGAAAAGTCCATATAACTACCAGCAAATTATCACTCTGCCTCTCAAGCTAAAGGGATACGTTTCTTTTTTCAAGGCACTCAGATTCCAAATTGCTTTCGAGAGGTCTAATCAAATTGTTGAGGCCTCGGAGAAAAAACACTTTCTTCAGACCAGGCTCCCTCTGATGGTTGAACACAGAGTCACACACGGATTAATCAAAGCCCTGAAACGTGTCATTCTACAAAAACCAGCACCGAGGATCAATATGGAAAAAAACATCAGTATGTTGAAGAGTACCTCTCTGATTGTTTATATGCTTTGATAATTATACATTTCATTACAGATTAATCTAGATTAAATGAGACATTGTAACAATTATCTATTCACCATTTTCAATCATAGCAATGCCTCATATTTTTATATAAAGATGTGTTGTCATTCATTCTTCAATCATGAATTAAACCGATGATTTGCAGGGGTTATTTTGACATGATTGGCATGAAAATCCCAACAGTTCAAATCCAAATATACTCAGCTGATCTGGATATTTTTAGAATCAAGAAAATATTTTGCTTTCCATGTTGAAGCTTTTACATTAGGACTATTTCCTTACAGAAAAGATTATTAAGCACCGCAATTACTTCTAATTACTCACTTATCACTGCTGCTCTAGTAGAAAGCTGTATTAAAAGGAAATACTTAAAGTACACAAAGATTCCTCTAAATGTGTCACACAAACCACTGAAAATATTATCTATATTTTAGCAACTAGATGCTTTCTAGTCTTTCTATTGAAGAATATATCTGTAGTAGCCGGCACCGTACCTTTCAAACAAGACAACTCTCCACAGATCAATGTGCTGCAAACAGCAGATGACATCAGAGGACTCTGCAGTATACCCCTTGTAGCGCCACATTATTAAGAACGTGCAGATGTCCTTTGAAACGATGGTCCCACCCTTAGGGCACAAGTCCATGAGACCCGTATAGGGCCAGATAAGTTGGTTCATGTAAGTAAGAGATATACCAACAGCTAACCAGCAGCACAGACTGAGGATGGACATAAGGAGTGACTGACTGAAGGTTATCAGCTGAAGGTGTGTTGGGTTGAGCACCATCGTTACAGGATCTCTGTCGGGTCATTACTGTAGCAGTTTATGACACAGACTCTGACTTATGTGACATGCAATGATGACAAGGCGTGGCACATCCGAAGGAGGTGTGATCGAGATGTGGGCGAAGTACAGTGTGTCAAAGATCCATTACTGTATGAACGACCAATCAGAATTTTGTAATACTTGAAATTGTGTTTGATATTTATTTTTTTTATGCTGCTCTGCCTTTCCAAAGTACTAGAATGCCTTTTCCAGCCCTAACTCTGACCCTTCACTGCGTTTATATGACAGCTGCTGTATTGAAGATAACGATAGCTAATCAATTATTGCGAATCTGTGAATAAACATCCACTGCTACATGTTATTTGCACTGTTTTAAGTGGTTCAACAAGTGGAACACAGCGCACAGCACAGACTAGCCAAACTGGTGAGTGGGTGTCGGTCTAATATCGGCACTGGCTCTTTCACAGCCACAGAAGTGATTCACCTACTGCTTCTCTCTCTGCCGAGGTTCGCTCCACAAATCCTGCACATTTTTGAAGAGTTTCACTGCACAGCATATGCTACACCACAGCCTTTCTGCCTGATGGACATGGTACAGGGTATTATGTGTACAGAGGTTTTACAACCCTTGAAGAAATGTAAGCTGTGAGAGATTCATTTAGTTCTGTTTATTCCGCTCTGCTGGATTTAATAAGATAAAAGCTCTTCCAGCATGGGGAATATCAGCTTAAACAACCATTCAGCAGAGCAGCGAGCACACAATCTTGAATTTATGATCTCTAATAAGCAGCTGCAGCATTATTAAAAACCTTAGTAATTCTTCAAATAGAACATCTAATATAGTCACACTCTCGCTAACCTGCAACCTTTTTATTTTTACTCCATCTTATACAGACTGCAGTGTACTGTAGTGGTGTGAACTAGAGGGCGTCCTTTTGAAAAAACAAAAAAATGAGTCACTTAAATGTCATATTTGCTTACTCAGAAGGTTCCCTGGATGCTTTAACAACATAAAATGTGATGTTGTCCTAATGCGCCTCTGTGGAGACTTTCTAAATCAAACCCTGGAGGCTTCAGTACTCAATCTGTATTGGGCAGAGACAGCCTGCGCTTCCTGTTTCTGCCAGTGCTGCTTCTCTTCAATGATTTCTTCCAACAAGAAGGCAATTTAGGAGCAGCAAATGAGGATAATTACAGGAGCATTTCGACTGGAAGGAAGGGGGGCTGACAAATCCCTCAGACATCCTGCTGTTGCATTTATTGTCAGGGTTGAAAATCAATCCCTAACTACCTCGCCAATCATCGTAACGTCATAGCATGCTGCTGTCTATCCCCAGTGGTGACATGACCTATCTGAAGGAGCTTTTTTTAAAGACGCAGTATATGTTTTAAGAACATGCTGTGCGTGCATTATGTCATACCAAACTCTCAAATGTATTCCAGTGAGGAAAGACTACATTACTTCCTCCAAATGAAATAACATCGAGACTTGGGCGTCTTCTTCTATTGAAATACAGCTATTTTCTTGAATCAAAAACCTGTGGTGCGGTGAAATTATTTAATATTTGCGTATTTTTCTTTCTCTCTGACAATAATTCTGAATGACACTGAGGTGTTTGATTCCTTATAAACAACTCATAAGGTCTACGTGTGATCTTTCATTATATCACCATTTGCATGACGTAACTGTAACTGAATGAAAACATTTTGCATTTCAAAGAAGACTAATGAACAGAAATAGCTGCTATTTGATCTTTTGGTCATTGTATACTCTTTGTAGTTTCAGTGAAAGCCTGACCAGCGTGTGCATACATCAGAAGGGAGGCTAATCCTCTCATTCAGTGGGGGATCAAGTCCTGAGGTACCAACCTACATATTCTCTGCAGGCTACATACCACCATGGGGCTGAGTGAAAAACACCACTGTTGCTGTTTATCTAAGCATCCTATCCCGTTTCTTAAAGGAGAAGACTAATTCTACATGCTGTACAGGGACTAAAATTGTTTTTTCACTGCATGCAATATGTTTCAAAAGCATGCAACAATATAAAGCACTTCCAACCTGTCAAACAGTCTGTAACCCTTTAGGCTAAAACAGGCAAAACATCAGTTTTCACCTAACAACAACAAGTTATGCAACATCAAATTTGCTCCATACAGCAGCAGCCGATCAAACTGTAAATCTACTTTGGATGATCCAGCTGATGCATGTTGTGTGTGTTCTAAAATGAAGCTGGAAAATAAGAGTTGAAGGGCAAAACTAGAAGCCAGAATGCTGACATTAAACTGCAAGGTATGAAGGCAAAATCCCCCGCAGAGCTTCCAAAGCATCCTCTGCTGCACTGCTCTAATCAACAGGTTTGCATTTCCCAACTACTTACGAAGAAAAAGTAATTACCAAAGATTCTTCTTTCATGAGTTTTTTCTTGTTTTCTAAAATCGAATAATCTAATTTCACCTAAATATGCATAGTACAGGGCTAATCCCCCTGGCTTCAGATCATATTGTTCCTCCTTCTGTTACAAGATCAGGATGCTCAAACCGTCCTCCCTCTGCAGTTCCAGTCTGCCACCACTCACCTGTGCTGGCTGTGTACTGCAGGCTTCCCCTCTTCCTGAAGGGAGACAAGGGCTTGTTTTTGGCCCCTGTGCCCCCGGCTGTGTTCCCGGAGGTCAGGTTGGAGGACATGTTCCCGGGTCTCGCTGGCTCAAATTGGGAAAAGAAGAGCTGAGTGAGTCAGAGCTGCGGCTGACGGAGCGCCGATAAGAGACACAGTGAGAGAGGACAAGAGAGGAGACCGGGGACAGACAGGAGAGGAGAGGAAGGATGGAGCACAGATGCTGGGAGTTTGAGGGAGTCGGTGCCAGTCAGCGTGTTCGTGTGTGTGTATATGCGCGTGCTGTGTGGATGTGAGCAGGGATTTCCAGAGTGGTTGGTCCAGCGTGGGGCTGCGGAGCATCCCTCTGCATCGGAACAGTCCCCGCCCCCTCAGAAAGACTCCCGTGCCTGAGCTGCAGCACTGATGGAGGATGGGGTTGTGATGGAGAGGCCCACCCCCAGCACGCCATGCGCCATTTACATGCACACTGAGTACAACAACGCTCAGCACTATTGCGCAGTCCTGCTGTTGCCATAGCAACCACAAATCTAAATGCGGGCAGGCAAGGGAGGAGAAAAGTTGTGGTTATAGCAAAACTGAAGTAGTAAAAGTCAATTCTACTCACTCTGTTTTTGCAAACCACCTGTTATCTTCGCAGTCTCTGCAATTGAGGGCAGAGACTGAACAGTTACCAAGTAATGAATTAAACACTCATTATTATGATGAATACTGGGATTTGTCTTTTCTTTTCACAAAAAATACAAATACTTATTACACTTAGTATAGGTACGTGCAGAGCATCTGTAAAAACTCTGCTCGGATTTATGTCCTTATTTGCAGACTGCAGGGAGAGAGAGACGCGCGGATTCAGGTCAAAAAGATCCTCGGATTAGGTAAAACACTCCAAATTTAACTTGTGAGAGTACATTATCAGGATGTTGGTATCTCTCATTTTAGGTGAATTGTCATGTAATTTCTGAAAGAAAACGGCCATTTTTCATTTACTCTTATTTCAGTTTAACCCAGACTATTTTTTCAGGTGCCACTGAAGCACAATCAGCACAATAACATGGGTATTATGAGAAAGATTAATTGCGCCTTTGTTGATTCGCGACAGCACGACTGTTTCAAGTTAAGCAATAAATGAGAGTTCATATCTTTGCTGTGAAACAATTTTAAGTGCCTACTTTCATTCAGGAGAATTATTTAAAAACTTCAAAACTTAATGATGGTGACGTCACCAAACAGCTTGAATCCCAGTGTAAGGCTCGCAATGACTCGTTTTCACCAAATAAATTCGATTTAAAGTAACATAAGCAGCAAATCCTCATTAACTGAAGCTGAAGCCAGGAAAACATTTGGTGTATGAAAATTTATCACCCCATTTATTTTTATCACTTGATTATTGTAACTTTCATCTCTTATAAGCCAGCGAGGCGCGATTAGAGACAGCAGTAACAAAGCACCCTGAGGTGGGGTGAATTATTTTCTTGGAAAACAACTTGCTGTGTTGCTCAAGGGAAGCTTTAAAAAGACCACATTTAGTGAACGCGTTTGATGCATTATACTAAAAAACACATGGGAGGAAAATCGTTGTGTACGATTAAAGAGGGATTTACATGACGTCAGCGTACTATATTTTAATTCACATCATTACACAGAAACAGAAAATGTGTAATGTTCATATTGGTACTGGAATAATAGGATTGAACGTTTTCTGATTATAAAGCACAGTCGGATATGAGGTCTGTCTATAAACACAGCTGGAAAACTCTGACAGCTGGAAGTCTTTTCTGTTTCTCCTTCATCCCCGAGCGTGTAACTACTGCTGACAACAATCAAGACCTTGGTTGAAACAGGGGTGTCATAAGATTTCCTCTTTTTATGTTGCCGGAAGACAGCTTAGTTTTATCTTTCTGTGGCAAGCCGATATTTGATGCACATTTCTTGACTTGTAAGTGTATAAAATTAGACCTGAATTGATCTGGACGCACAATAATTGATGCCTGCAAGAGGAGGAAGGTGCACTTTGGAGTCAGCGCCCTCCCGTGGTGAAACTGTGAAACTGCTCGAAGGGCAAGAAAAAAACAGCAGACTGTTTTTAATACAGAAACTCGAAAATTGAAAGTAAAAATTTTCCCACACACAGACTGAACTCAACACCCACAGAATATATTTCTTCCAGCTATATTTGCCCACTTTGCTCACGATGGGAAGGGGGTAGAAATAAACAATGAAAAACTGCATTGAGACATAATTAGTTGCCCAATTTCATATTATTTTGTACAGTCAAATTTAACTGCAGGCATCCCTGTCTACTGGCTTTGCACACATAGACAGTCTTTTATTTGGCTTAAAGTCAAGGCTCTAACAAGCCACTTAGGACATTTAGCTTCACATCCCTAAGCCACTTTGTCCTTTTTGCTGGCGTATTTAGAAACGTCCTGCTCCCATTCAGCTTTCTAATGAGAGCCCAAGAAGCTTTCCTGAAACATTTACTTGTTCTTGTTAGTATCAGCTCTTCTTTCATTATTTTTGTAATGTTGAAAAAACAGCCCACAGCAGACCGTTAACACCGTCATGATGATGATTTATAGCCAAATCATCATTGGAGGTGCCACCTTACAAGCCAAGTTTGTTATACAGTTGTCCAGTTTAGGGGAAGTTATTGGTCACACCATGTGTCTTACTAATGCTGTGAAGAGTACTCAGAGAGAAAGCCTTTGCTGTCTTTTTGTATCATTTGCTAATCTGTCTGTTATGCACTGATCTGGCCTCCGTCGATACTGCAATGACACGCCTATACAGCTATGAGTTTAAGCAGAGAAACTGGATCAGGGTGTTTTTAATGTCACAGCGAGGCTCAGTATCCCAGCATGCGCCCTGCGTGTGCTGCTAATGCATCACATGACATAAACACAGACACACTAGATATTTACAATAAATTTGATCTCAGAAATACAAAACAAATGTAAACAAAATCTATATAGGCAAAACTATAGACTATCTACATATTCAGACATTAAATGTAAACACATGAGCTATGAGCCATAAAAACTGCATAGGATCAGCTGTGTGTGTGTGTGTGTGTGTGTGTGTGTGTGTGTGTGTGTGTGTGTGTGTGTGTGTGTGTGTG